TACTGCTCTCCGCGGCCCGTCACAGTGGACAGCTCCAAGGCCAGGACCTCCCTGGACGCCCTGAAGATCAGCATCCGCCAGCTCAAGTGGAAGGAGGTGAGGCCCGGCCCGGCCGCGTGGGCACAGGGGGGTGGACTTGGACGACCTCAGAGGAGTCGGCCGGCCCAGGCCAGGTCCGGGGGCCGAGCTCCTGCCTTGCGCCAAGCTTGAGCCTGCTGGTCAGCCACAAACTGCTCATCCTTCAGAGCCTAGCCCCCAAGTCACTGGAGCAAGAAGGCTTTCAGAGCCCTCCAGGTCAAGTTAGCCAACTCCTCTGGCTCCCCTGCTGCTCCCCTACAGTTCCATGGTCTCCAGACGTCGGCATTCGCCTCCCCACATTCTAGATATTTGTTTATATGTCTGTATCCTCCACCGGCTTGTGAGTCCCCAGGGCTCTAGACCCTCTCTCTTTCACTTCTTTACTAAGTTAATATTTGCTTCGCATTTACTGTGTGACTCTCGGGGCAGTTAACAGTTTGTACTTTGTAGGCAGACGGACCTGGGGTCTCACCACTCTGCTGCTTCGCTGTGTGACCTTGAGCAAGTTGCTTCACCTCTTAAGCCTATTTCCTCCTCTATGAAATGAGGCTAGTAATACCTCTCTGGTAGTTTTCTTACTATTAGAAGACTTAGGGCTTATTGTAGCTAGCACAAGTGTGCAGTTAATGGTTACTAATTTTACCACCCACTCCTCTCTCTCCTCCACCATCACCATCATTGTCATCAGTGCAGGCACTGCATTTTATGCTCCAAGGCTTGGCATATGGCAGGTGTCCAGAGATGGTGGGTGAAAGGGTGACTGAAGGAATGAGGGTATCAGTTGCATTTGGCTGAGTGGATAAAACTGTTTGACTGTATTTGCAGCACCTAACGTTATTTCACGTGCTTTCATGAGTGTCGGGGCTGTGGTTTAGGGTAGTCAAATCTGGAGACTTGGGCCCAGATATTCTGCTGCTGGAACAGGATCTGTGGCAGGCGACATGAGGACTCAGGTACTCATAGCCTGGGCCTTGGCTATGGTAGGTGTTCAGGAATGGTTTAATCAAGTTGGAACATACAGGAAGATGGCCACAGAAAGGACTGATGAGGTCGGAGGGTTGGTGTCCCAGCAGAGGGAGTCATGTGGTTTGGAGGGGAGTCCAGAATCAGGAAGGGCTGACTTCTAGGTAGGGAGGGCTTAGTCATGGGAAAGTCTGATTCCAGGCGTCAGGGCCCCCCAGCCTTGGGGTTTGGGACTTGGGGGAGGACTTTCATGCCTCTGAAACCTGGAGAAAATGAGGGAGGTTCCCAGTACTAGGCATCTGGGTTTCTGGACAGGGTCCCAGGTCCAGACTGGAGATATGAGGACCAGAACAGGATAAACCCGAAGAGCTTGTCAGTGCCATGGTCCTAATGAAGGGAGAATGAAGGGACTGAGACCAGGCCACAGAGTTAGGGAAGGCTGGCCCAAGCAAAGCCCATACTTAGCTTAGCCCTGTGGGAGAGAGACACACAAAGCTGGCCAAATCTCAAGAGATGGAGCCACGTGGACTCAGAAATCAGCAGGCACACATGTGGGGCCCGCTTGGTTCACTCATTCCATAAGTGTCCACTATGGATGCTGGGCCCTGTAAAGCAAAGATGCTTATGATGTAACCCTTGCCCTCAAGGACCTTCTAGTTCAGTAGGTGATGAGACACAAGTAAAGAAGTCATCACAGTAGTTACAGGGCCTTTGCTGCTGCTGCTTCTCGAAATGCTCTTTCCCCAGCTCTTTGCGTGGCTGACCCTGTCACTTCAGGTCTCTGATCAAATGCCACCTCCTCAGAGAGGCTTTCCCCCGTGATCCCCCGCTGATGCCTGCTAGTCTTTATTTTTTTATCGTAGCACCGAACTCCGGTGACATATTTCGTATTGTTTATTGTCTGTTTCCCTCACTAGAATGTAAGCTCCATGAGGGCAGGGGCTTTGCTTTATTTACTGCTGTATCCAAAGGTGCTTGGCACATAGAAGGTGCTCAATAAATATTTGTTGAATGGATGAACACCTTATGTGATGAGTGTTTCTCTCTCTATGTCAAGGTGTACGTGCCTTGGGAGGCAGAGGAGGGCCATCTCGGGAAGGGCTTCCTGGAGGAGAGGCCCTGAGCCGAGTTCTGAGTGTGGAGGATGAGCAGGCATTACTTAGGGGCTGTGGACTTTGGATCCCTGGTAGAAGCAGTGGTGTGGGCACCGCAGAGGTGTATTCAGGAGGGCTGGATGGTAGAGTGGGCGGCAGAATGGTGAGAGGGGAGGCAGGAGAAGGGAGCATGGGTCAGATTGCATGCCACACTGTGGGATGTGGACTTTTTTTGGGGAAGGCTATGTGAGCCCCTACAGAATCTTAAGTGTCTTTAATTTATCCGCTCTGCAACTTTGCCAAGTGAGTTTAAATTCTTTAGGCCTCAGTATGCCTATCTGTCAAATGGGGTGGGTCCAGCCAGATCAGTGGTTCCCAGTCTCTACTGCTGCACCCACATCCTGGTAATGTTAGTCTATGGGAGGCCCTTGCAGTGGTGAAGCCAGTGGATGAGCAGTTTCCAGGGCACTACCTGTAACTGCCTCCTCCAGCCCCAAGCCTGCCTGATCTCCTGCTCAGAAAGCATATTGGCTGTAAGTGGAGATGCTCATTCTAGTCCGTTTTAAAACATAATTCACTCACAACAAGGCTTTACTATTAATGTGTGATTATTTACCCACTGTCACTCTTCCCTATTCATCTGTGAGGTCCCGAGGACAGGAGTGGTGTCTGACTTGTGTCCCCACTGCCCAGCAGATGGTAGGTGATCAATGAATGAATGAATGAATGACTTGCAACAGAGCTCACATCTCATTGACACCATGGAATGTGGAGTTTGAAAAACGTCAGACAAGGTGAACTTTAAAGTTCCTTCCTGGTTTATAATTTAAAAAATTTTTCTTTCTTCTTTTTTTTTAATGGAGGTACTGGAGATTGAATCCAGGCCCTCTTGTGTGCTAAGCATGTGCTCTACCACTGAGCTGTACCCACCCTCCCCTCCTTCCCGCTTTCAATGATGATTATGGTACCCTTAGTGTTTACTACAAAGTTGACTGCACGACAAGTAACATATGTATATAAACCAGGTACTAACAAAAGGCAAACACAGTCTCCCCAGGCCTCAGTTTCCCCTTCTGTCACAGGGCTGATGTTGGACAAGAGCATGGCTAATGCTCAGCTCAGCAATGACTTTCTAGGAGCAGGAAGTCTGCTGGGGGCTGGGTTGCAAGGAAGTGCGCTGCGGTGTTCTTTGTATGTCACTCTGTGCTGTCACTGCAGGATTTGGGAGTCCCCAGCAGGGGTGGGTGGACCACCCAGGTATGAAAGAGGATCATGAGTACCAACCAGAGTGGAAGGTCTGTGTCTCCTTTTGTGAGTGGGCGGTGAGGGGCAGCGCTGAGCTCGGCCTCAGGGCGCCACCTCCCTTCCTCCTTCACTTTTTAAAATTCCACATACACTTACCAATGACAAAAGTAACAGTGATAACGAACAACATGGGTGATGCCGCCCCCTGACCCAGCTCTTCCCATGCCAGGCCCTCTTCTGAGTGCTTTATGTACACCTAAGGATTCAATTCTCCCAACAACAGTAAAGTGAATGCCTTTTTGCCTCCATTTTACGGAGGAGGAAATTGAAGTCCGCAGAGGTTAACTTATCCAAGGTCAGACGGCTGGTAAGGGGCAGAGCTAGCATTTGAAACAGGTATTCATTCGAAACCAGCCTTCCATGCTGAGCCCTTCCCACTGTTCTCCGCTGGCGGACACTGGCAGACCCTGGGTTGGGGGTGGCTGATGTAGGCATGAAAAGGAGTCACTCCTTGCCCTCCAGGGACAGACATGCACACAGACAGTTGCAGTCCCATCTGGGAGTTGAATGGGTAAAGGGCATTCCATGCAGAGTAGGATCAAAGGCAGGGGATCAGGTTTCACAGGCGGGATGGGGTGATGGCTGCTTAGCGTGTGGGTGACCAGAGCGAGATGAAGGAGCCAGATTGGAGGACATTGAAGGCTGTGGCAAGAAGTTTGTGCTTCCGGCTGACTGTGATCACAGATTCTTGCCATATGTAGACGGAGCTTCCCTTCCCCACCCTCTGTCAGTCCCAAGCAAACCACATCAACTCCCTGATGATTCAGTTTTCAGTCGTATCCACTCTGGTCAGGTCTAGTTAAGCAGTGCTCTCAATGCTAAATCTGCTCCTCAAAGAACAGCTCATACATGTTAGCACTGTAAACTTGTAGGTAAGACCAAAGTTTATTCTAGAAGAGCAAAATCATGTTTACAGAATCACTGTCAAGCCAGAACAGGAAAGAGAGGAATGGGTCCCGGCTCACAGTAGATGCTCAGTAAGTATTTACGGGGTTGCATGGTCCTCTTCCAGTCACGTGAGCCTCTCTGCCAATCTCCTGTTTGTTCTTTTTGCAGTTTTGACGCCCTCATAACGGAAAACCTCCTGGAAAAGGCAGCATGGGGAATAGATGCTGCAATTGTTGTGAGCTGCCCTCCTTGGAGATATGGGTTGTGTATATGTGCACAGTGGTGCCATGGCCACCAGCTGACGTGAACAAGGGCACTGAGGGATTTGACAGAAGGACCTTTGTTGATAATTGTTTGCATAAGCCCTGTCCCAAGATCTATTACAGTGTGAGCTCTTTGTTTTAGAGTGTCCAGATCATGTGCCTTTTTCTGAAAAGTATCCAGCCTTTCTTCAGAACATGCATATCCTTATTACATCATCAGACTTGCACTTTGTGCAATGTTAGTTACGGTCTATGAAATACCATGTTATGTGCTAGGCATTGCCTGCGTGCTTTCTTCTATACATTAATTTGTATAGAACATTTACTGTGGGTTATTTTATTTAATCCTCCCATCAACCCTTTGAAGTAGCTCTATTACCATTTTACATTCACAGATGAAGAAACTGAGGTTAGGAGGTTAGTTCAGGGCTAGTCCAAGGTCACACAGGGAACAAGGGGTAGAGCCACCCAGGGCCTGTGCTTGTAGCCAGGATCCAGTCCTATT